TGAATGCCACAAATTCTCCTAAATCACTCGTACGCACAACTTAAGAACAAATCTGTGCGTACGAACGGTTCTTGCATGAGGCCCATTGTATTTATAATCACTGATAGACTATATTGCAGTATTTGAACACAAGCAGCCTACTTGTATAATGGTGTCACTTTTACATGTTGTAAAAACAAATACATASTTCTACAAGTGCCCTAGCTTTTGTCATTTTAAATATAAATATTCCACAGGTTCATGGCCATTTTTGGTAAAAAGTTACAAAGAGCAGCTGCAGAGGTGCTGAAAATGAATGTGGCTGTGAGTTAAAGCAGAAAACATCTTGGTAAATCCCACTGCTAAACACTAAACTACAGGGAATGCTGTTTCAAATAATCCCAGTAGCTGAAGGTGAATAATTTACCACAAAAAGAAACTAAATAGGGAGCACTAAACATATTCCACAGTAAATAGTGGTGTTATATTGAATTCATGTCAAGGCCTGGGTTCAGCCAACATTTTACAGGAGCAGCAAAATGTACCTGGAGGCATAAAAAACTTGTACTGACAAAACTACTAAAGGTATTTGATGGAGCTGTGATTAGTTATTGCCTAGCAGTTTAGGATCCTGGAAAAAAAAACTGATAAGAATACATTTTTTTTCTCTCGGGCAAAAAAAAAAAAAGATGCAGCAAATTAGTTCTTCCACAAACACACACTGAAACTGGCAGATAAGAGTGGGTGAAATGCCTTGAAGCACACGTAGGTGACACTGTTGAACCGTGCATCAAGAAGGGAGGCTGGAGGAATGGAGGGTGGAAAAAAGGGGGCCAAAGATGAAAAAAATAAAATAAAAAAAGCAGTGGCTGCAGAATTTGGGGGTGGGAAAAAAAGGAAAAAAAAAAAGAAAAGTGACTTGTTTATCTTTCCCACCATGACTTTGTGCCTCAGGACTGCCAGAGCTGTCACGGTTTGTGAAAGGCCTTTCTGCTGTGTCGGCTCCTCTGATTTGTCAGTACCGATAATCTTCAGTGGGGGGCAATACAAAGCTGAATGACTGACTAGTGGAAGAATGCCTCAGTGGTATTCTACCTCCTCTACCCCCGCAGCTTCTGCATATGAGCAAAAGCTGCTTCTACAAACCCACCAGAAATGGATGTTTAGAACAGAACCGTGTTTGTTCTGTTACAAGTCCATAATCAAAGCCATAAACATGTTTAATCTGAAGTGAGGTGGGTTTTCTATCAAATCTGCATTTGTTTTTCTTTTCTCCTCAGTTCCAATACGTTTTTTTGCATAAAACCTTACCGCAGTGGTTTGGACYAAAGCTTCTTAAAATCTCTTGCTGACAACAAAACCACAAGATTTGCAGTTGCCGAAGCTTAAAATACAAAGTGATTTTGTTCATTATGGTGGATACTAATCACATATCTGGATTTTTCTAAGACATTTTGCAGTCTACTGTTTTTCAAGTTTCATTCTTTGAGGCTAAATATGGTTAATTTGACCTTTAAAAGAAAACAAAACACGGCATCAAAGTATGTTAAAATATGGATGCTGAAAAAAAAAATACTAAAACAAACAAACTTTCTACAATAAAGTTGAAAAAAGTCACAAGTTATTAAAGTTTGTGCGAGACTTTAAATCTGTTGACCTTTCTAACAAAGACAGCAAAGACTCTGCTTAGACGCAGTGATGGTGTTTCTGTAGTTTTTTCTTTTCAGACAAGACTTTTGTCCAGAAGTAAGCTTTTTTTTTCAAGTGGAACAAATGTCATTTCCACTCCAGTATATGGGGTTATTTTGAAAAATAAACCTTCTATATCATCTCTGGTTTACAAATCTGAGCATGTAACCTTTTGCAGATGCATGTATTTTATTCTTCAGCTCTCCAGTTAGTACAAAGTCATTCCACACTTCTGCTGGTTATTTAGCAAACACAGATTTATGAGAATAACAATAAAGCCCCTCAGATATCATGCCTCTTTCAACTTTTGATCTGTTTTCCAGTTTATATCAGG